TCATCACCACAATCTGTGCAATCTGTCTCAAAACCTGCAAGAGCAGTCCTGGCTGCGAGGGCAGCGCAGAGTGCCAGGAGGGAGGAAATGTCAGAGGACCACGGCGGCTGCAGGCAGGACCGGCAGGAATCCCCGGTGGGAACAGCAGGCAGCAGAACGGCACAGTTAAAGATGGCTTTCCGGTGGTGAAATACAGATTTCGGAGAAGTCTTGCTTCATTCTCCTTCCTAGCACAGCATGAGCAGCCTTGACCCAAACTCACCTTCTTTTCAAAGGGAAAACTGAACTCTTTGGGGAATTCCCCTGTTTGGGGAATGCTGCTTTCCCCTGCTTGTTTCTTTCTCAGGCATTGGCCATCCCCAAAACACACTCTCTGCTTTCACAAGATTGTTTCCTGAAGCCAGCTTGCCACAACTGACAACTTGCTCTCCACAGGTCAAATCACAGCATATTCATTTTTGCATTTAACCTCAGGGGCATTTGAAGTCCTTATTTAAAGGTGACCTCCAAAAACTAACAATAATAAGAAAAAACATGCATTTCTTCCAATTTTTTTATTATTGTGGGTAAAGGGTTTATTGTCCAATGTGCCTTCTTCTTTTCTTTTGGAACAAAACAAACTAGAAATTCAGATTTATTTTTTCTCTCTGCTTCCCCCCCAAAAATCTGTGGTCAAGTGGAGGACTGGCAGAATAATAGTTTAAAATATACTGTGCAGATGAAAGGTAATTGAGAAGTAATTTTTTTCCAGATCATTTTAAAAGGCCTTTTGTTTCTTTCTTTACTTGGATATATTTAATTCCAGTACTGAAGAAGAAACTCTAAGAAGTCTCCTTCTCGCAAACACCTCTGCAAGACCTTCCATAAGGTCAGCAAGAAGAAAGGGTGGAATTGGCATTCCAAAATAGAAGAAAGCTCCTAAATGTCCCTGCCTTTTCAGACACAGACAGTGAATTGACGAATACACCCTTTCCCTCCCATCCCTGTTTTGCATATAACTTTCACCTCTAATGATGGTTAGCACAGTACTAAGGAAAAACTGAAGCAGGACCTTTGGATTTGAGGCTTAGAAACAAGAATAAAATCAGACAAAGGTGTACCAGAGGGGGACAGAGGAGGTTCTGCCTCTCCCCTTCTCACCCTCAATTCCATATGAAAGGCTTTCTCTGTCACATGGTGAAGGGGGAAAGCTTCTGCTGCACAGACTCCTCATTCATGATCACAGCTACATCCTCTTCTCATTAAAACAATCTGCAATCACCCATTTGCAAAGATAAATTTTTCCTATGTAAGTACCAAAGATGAGGGGGTAACTGTCTTACTCTCGTCCACACCGAGAGATAAGTGAATTAATCAAAGCAAATCTAGCTTCTCTGTAGAGGAGACAGAACATTTGCTCCTATTTAACTCTTCCCACTCTGCCATGGGTTTTGCAATAAAGCAGTTCCTTCCAGCATCCTCAGCCTGTGCTTACACTGCAAGGGAAACTCCATTTAAATCAGCACCACGCAGTCAGGAGCATGGGAACACACAGGTTCTTCTCCACTGCATTCAGCAGCAGCCAAGTAGTTAAGCAGGCATAATTTGTCTCCTTTCCAGTATTAACAAGCATGTCCCCATCCTACATTTGGCTGCCTTTCTCCACAGTTCCTCCCCTTGCATCTGATTACAGCAACCCAACCAGTTGGACCGGATTCCCCTTTTCAAGGTGCTGCACCTTCTCTATCCACAGCTAGGAACATTTTTTGCCTTTTCTGTGCCTTTTCCGAGCCCTGGCAAACAATGTCTCCCCAGGGACTGTATGACATAAGGCTACACTGGCGATGGAGAGTGGTCAGTCCCTGCTTTTGCGATCAGTTTACAATTAATCCATGAGTGCACACACACAAATAACACAGCCTGACACTAAGGGGAGAGCCCAGGACCTCAGCACCAAAGTACAGAGGCTCTGCCACTTAACCTAAAGAGGCCCCTCTCTGCTCTAAGAGACAGGTTGTTTTACTGACAACAACTAGCCCCTGAAATGGGACATAATCCTCTTCTCCAAACCAGCATATCGGCACGAGTTCACAGGGTTACAATCACATGCAGGCATCCCTGTGCTCTACAAATGCAGGAACGAATTCTCTAGTCAATGAGGCTCTTTGCAGAATGGCTTGCAAGTAGATGGAGATGATTCACCTAGGGAGAAGCAATTTTCCCCTCCCTCCCCAACCATCTTCTCCCAGTCCTGATGAAGGGATTTGTTGGAGACCCAGGACCTGTGTGAGAAGAGAAGGGATGAAGTAGACACGTGCCTGGTATCCATAAGATATACTAGTCCACCCCACAAAATCCTAAACATCTCTGCTGCCAAGCTGCTCCTTGTCAACAATTTGCAACAAGCCCCTCAGATCTGTTCCTTTTTGCTTTCACCACTGTATTTAAACAACTACACCTGAAATTTTGCAAGAGGAGACTCCTGGGAAGACTGTTGAGGAAGGCAAGCCAGCAGCCTGGTGACAAGAAGCACCCCTGAGCCAGAGCCATTGCTTCTGCACCTTGGTATCCGGCATGGGGTCGGCTCCTGGGTAAAGAGGTGTCTATAGGTGGGGGTCTGCAGTGACTAGGGATGGGGTTCAGCTGCCCAAACACCAGTGCCCTGTGTTGTGGGGTATCCTGCAAAGCCTAGAGCTGCCACTCCAAGTGTGACAATTGTCTGCAGGTCCTGCATCCTATCTGTCATGATATGAGAGACCAAGAGGCAGATAATGAGACCAAGAGGTAGATAATGAGACCAAGATGTCATAATGCATATGTCCACACTATCATCCTCTTACCTTTCAAAACAAGGTGGCTGGATCCAAATTGTGTATTTGGCATGGTTCCTGGCCCAGGCTAATGTCCAAACTGTGTCTGAACAATGTCTGGAAGAGTGCTACTGGCCCAGGCCAATATCATGCCAGGCAGCGTGCTAACAATTTCATAGTGTGGACGAGCAAGATCCAGTACCCAGGAACACTCAGATGTGCTGTATAAATTACTAGCAGAGGATGTAGCCCACAGGGTGAGCTGAATCACTGTCTGGGCTCCCCCAACTTGTCTACATCTCATTTGTCTATAACGGAAGCTGAGACGCTCAGATCACCTGGAGACACTGAAATTTAGGTGTCTTAATCTACAAGTTCAACCCCAGCTTCATTGTCAATGTATTAACCTGGATGTCAGCATGATAGCACTGAGCACTAAGGTAGAGCAAAATGCTTTTATGTTTTTTAAATTAATGGGAGGAATTTTTGGCTTGTAGAACACAGTAGAAAGGAAGGCTGAGAGGCAGCATGTCAAGGCATCTGCCCTGGGTGCAATAAAGAATAAAAGCAACTAGAATAAAACAGAAAAATTAAGAGAGAGGTGTTAACCCTTTCACAGTTTAACTGTCAAAAGGGTTTCAACTGAAAGACAGCAGCACAATTTTTCTTTTTTATGTATCTGGATAGTATTTGGGTCAAGGAGTTGGTGTGAAGGAAATTCATCACAAATGCCTCCAGCAGGATCAAAGTCTGCAAGTACTCATGCATGGGAACAGCCATGTAAGACAGGCAGCCTGCTGCCACTACACACCACTGCTGCTTCCACTGTGTGCAGCAATAATACTCTGCCAAGCTAAGCACAACCTGAGACAGCCCAAAAAATTGCAGAGGGTCCCACTGTGCGTCTGGATACTGCAGGTCACAGCACAGCCAGTCCCATGTCCTTTGGGGCTGCCCAGCAGTGCAGAACAGAAATTAAATCCCTTCAGGTCAGCTAGTTCATTGTTTCTCAACTTGTGCTTTATGGGCCCCAACGGCCTGAGAGACGTCAAAGATGTTCTGTGGCACAACTGTAAAAAAACATCTAAATGAAAATGCACATACATAGTCCCTGAATGCATGCAAATAAAATCAGGAAGAATAAAATAAACAATGACCATCCAAAGTTTAACCTAATCTTTATACGGCTGTGAAGAAAAACCACTGTGGCAATGCCACACAAGGCAACCTGCTCTGCTTTCCCAGAAGGTTGCATGGTCCTTCAGTGTAAAAAGGTTGAGAAATACCGAGGTAGTTCGTCTCCTGCTGTGAGGCAGGGTCCACTCTACCTAAACCATTCCTGACAAGTGTTTGTCTAACCTGTTCTCAAAAGATTCCAGCGATGGCGATTCCACCCCTAATCCCTAGGCAAGCTGTTCCAGCAGTGAATTACCTATAGCATTGGATTTTGCTGGTGTTTATATTTTCTCTGTCATTGCAATTCAAGCCCATGATTTCTTGTCCTATCCAGTGTGAACACAGAGATCAGATCGCTCCCTTCCTCTTTGCGGACATCTTTTGCGTGTCATTGGAAAGATGTTATTATGTCTTTTCTCCATCTTCCCTACAGTAAAGGGTTTGTTTTCGTATTTTCTGGACCTGGGACTGTTCTCACATATGACTTGTTCTCAGAAGTATCTCCAATTGGTCCTCAGCTTTCTCAAAATGCAGGGACCAGAACTGGGGATGGCTCTGTCTTGCAGACAGCCCTTTGGGATACTTCCCTTTATTACAATTGTAAGACACTCTCAGCTTATATTCAGTCTGTGATCCACCATAATCCCCAGCAATTTTTTATGCAGAACTGCGGCATACTTGGGTTTTCTCAGATCTGCAGTTTTTGTAAATGTCATTCTTACCTACAGCACTTTTCACTTGTCCTTATCACATGGCAGATCATTTCATTCTGATTTCTAATCTCCAAAATTCACAAAATCCCTCCAAGCCTGCTATTGTCTGCAGATGAGTATATACTTTCCATTCCATCATCCAGATATTACTGAAAACGCGTAACAGTTCTGGACTTAGGACAGACTTCAGCCTTCCAGTTTTATAATAAAGCACTTAAAACTACACCGAATACAAACCCACCCTTCAGCAGTTTCATCTAGTCCATACTTCCTGAGAGCACTATGAGAGGATCATGTGAATCAATGTAAAAAGTCCTGCCCAGAGCACTGTGATTTCTTGACACGGTTTCTCCCAAACTCAAAGTGCTCTAGGCTTTGCATACCACATTTTATAATGCCACAGGCTTTGAAGGGAGTTAAGAGCAACTTTTGTGCTTTCCACACCCTTTTCATTGGTATGATGGATGACAGAAGCGCAAGGAGAATTAGCTCTGAAGGAGTGTGATGAGAGCTACTGATCTAGTGTCATATGAAGGGTCAGAAATGTAACCTTTCAGTAGATGATTCAGCACTCTTATGTGTGTTTGGAGGAAGGTTGTTTCCAGATTTTGGCTCTTTCAGTGGGGCTTCTAATGAATACATTTTTGCCCTTTTGCTGGTATATCCCATGGGCATTTTAAAACATCCAACAACTGTCAAGAGACAGGTTTTAGGTCTGTCAGTTACTGACTGTCATGCTAAAAGGTGTTTTTTGAACAATAATAATTCAATTACTCTTTTTTCTTGGTGTCCATGAAATTCCTTCTTATCAAAATGCATGCATGTCAACAAGTTATGGAAAGCATATATTCTATAAAGATGAATAATCCTTATGAGCTTAAAATCAGAATACTTGACTGTAAAGACCAGTTCATATGCAAAAAATTTCCATGAGTGACCTATTAGACATAAAGAATAAGCATCTTAGTTCAAATAAAGTTCCTGTGCAAATACTCTTTGTCAGAGACTGCTGATAAGAAGCATCATTTCTGTATTTCTGTTTAGCTTGCGTATCATATGTGACCACGTAACTGGTTCTTTGGTTCCATTTATAAAGATGTGCACAGGGCTCAACCATACAGTTACTACTAAGCCACATTAAAACATTCAGCTGAATTCACTCATTTATTGCAATAAAGTCCCTGAGTCTGTATTCCTGTTTGCATAGGAGACTGAGCAGATTATGGCTGCTTTCCCATAATTGCCTGTAGATGGATTTTGCCTTATAAAAGAGAAAGCACAATGCAATATTTAAGGGGTGAGCTTAGGACTAGGGCAAATCTTGTGCCATTGCATGCTCTGCCTTCCTGCGGAGGTCAATTAGAGTTGTATTCCTCTCAAGCAGCCAGCTATGACTCCCTTCATAGGCTATAGAAAAAAATAGGCATCTCTAGAGGGCTATTCTTTCATCCTACATTAGGGGAGATGAATTACCCTCTGGAAGTACTGCTTTCTCTCTGTTGACTGTACAAGGAGCCAGGAAGGACCAAACCAGCCAGGCTTAAATATTATGTTTCAGACATGCACACCGGGCCAGAGAAACCCCATCTTGAATATCCCACTTGCAGTCATTTGTGGCTGGGGCAGACAAATCCTATCTCGTATCTTTCTATGCCTCCTTTTTTCATCTGCAAAACAGGATGACAGCACTTTTCTGTCTCATGTTGTAGCTGTGAAGATAATGACAGTAAGAAATTGCGAGGTGCTCAATGATTACAGTATTAGGAGCCATATGTGTGCACTTGGTAGAATACACGTCATTTATTACAGATTTCAAAGACCTGCTAGCAGGCAATGGCAATACCTAAACATCCAGTATCTTCCCTGAAGACTTCACAGACTTTTCCCAGGGTTTCTTATCCCATTTCAGATCATTCTGATGATGGAATATGATTTCCCAAGTTTAGAGCTTACAGCAGGTGCGCACTGAGAGAATTTACACCTTTACCTTCCTCGAAAGTAAAGCAGTTACAGCTCACTTTCACATGAGGAAAATGAACCCCTTTTTCAAAACAGGAGAGGTTTTACATTCCCATTATCGTAATCTCTTGATCAGTTCAGAAATCCAGCTGTATTTAAATATATATTTAAAGAGAAAAGTTTACCCATTTTCCAAGCAGGGCTCTTCTTTCTTCAAATACCTATAAAATATATACACAGAAATAATATTGAATATTTAAAGGGGATTAAAAATGTCCTAAGAAAAATATAGCTTGAAAAACAGTCTACAAAATATAAACATCACTGAATGGAAGAATCTGGAAAAAACCTGTGGAGATCCTTTAGTCCAAACTCCCTGCTAGGGTCAACTAAAGCAAGTTGCTCAGGGCCACATCCAGATGGGTTTTGAATATCTCCTTGGATGGAGACTCCACAACCTCTGTGGCAACTTTTTGCCATGTGTGACCACCCTCACAGTAAGAACATTTTTTTCTTATGTTTAAATGGAATTTCCTCTATTTCAATTTGTGGCTATCGCCTGTTGTCTTTTCACTGGATGCCACCAAGAAGAGTCTGGTTCTGTCTTCTTTACACCCTCTCATCAGATATCTATACTCACTGATAAGGTCCTCCATGATCCTCCCTTCTCTAGGCTGAACAACCTCAGATCTTGTACCGGGTTTGTGTGGCCAGATTTTGGTAGTGGGGGGTGTTACAGGGGTGGCTTCTGTGAGCAGCTGCCAGACCCTTCCACCATGTCCGACAGAGCCAGTGCCAGATGTTCAATAGAGCCAATGCCAGCCGGCTCCGAGACGGACCCGCTGCTGGCCAAGGCCGAGCCCATTGGCGACGGCAACAGCACCTCTGGGGGAACAGAGTTAAGAAAGGGAAAAAGATGGAGAGAGGAGTGAGAACATGTGAAATAGC